ATGAAATCACAGAGAAGATATTGCTTTTCATGTATCATAGATCTTGATACAGGCTATAGACATCAGACGTGCAGACATCAAATAATTTACTTCATGTTAAATGAAGAAATAGAGCTGGGGTCATTTGGATGTAAAATGTGTGCATGTGGATTTGCATACATCTAGCCCTTCCTCGAAAAAGGACCTCCTATTTTTTGCCCTAGAGCTAGAACTCCTTTTGTAGTAGCCCTGGAAAAAATTCATAAAAAGTCAAAAATCTCTCTGATTCAGAGGATTCTGAGAAAAGTTGATGTCATAATATTATGATGTCGAATCCAGAGTGTGAGCATCTCCATCCTAGCTTTGAAACAGAAATTAGGAACAAGGTTAATATAAGAAAGAGGAAAACCTCTTCTCTCAGGGAAACTTTTCAAAATTCCCTTCCAGTTTCAACCACTCAGTGTGCTATATTATGTGAACTTAACTCAGGGAGAGTTGCACTGGGCAGTTCTTTATAAACAGTGGGCTTTTCTAGATTTTTGGCACAATAACGGCACTTAAGGCTTCCTTCTCACGTCCAATATCTATAGTGTTGGCAGATATCAAAATGCATTAATGATTTATAATATATTAACTGTGTTGAAGAGTGGCAGAGATGAAAGCAAAACATTCAAAAGGAAGGGAATTGCAGGTTATAGGTAGGTGTCTCTGTTTAATAGATTAAAAAAATATTGGCATAACATAACAAAAACTACTAATTAAACTGGCTTCGATTCCAGATCCCTGATATTTGAGCAGGGACCTAAGAATTCTCCTAATTCCCACTGCAGCCACCTCATTTAACATTTTACGCTGTTCAGGGTAATCTCATTAGAGCAAATGGTTTGAAAAAAAAAAAAAAAAACCCATAAAACAGCAAAGATAATTTTTGAATAATGAAATGATCTCTAAGTGTCAATTCCATTGGTTCATGGATTCAAAGATTCAATATTACTTTTGGTACTATCTCAAATAACTAATTTATTAAGATAGCGTCTTAGATTTCTTTTAACTAACTAGACTTATATTGACCAGGAGATTTAATCATTGACTCCCTATATGCCTGAATCCATGTTAGGCACATACTAAGGATTTGGGCCATTTTGTGGTGGATACAAATGTCATAGAATGAGGGGTTCTTATTGTCACATAAGAAGACTGTTCCAAACAACGGATGTCGTCTTTTTAGGTTGGTGGTATTTGAGCTGTGATGCCTATGAAGAGTGCAAAGTGAGACACAGAACTTTCATAAGTCTGACATATGTTTGCTCTGACAGCTCTGACATAAACCAGCTGTACGTCCTTGGAGCGCCTGAGGCTTCACGTACCCATTTAGAGAGGAATACCAGCTTATTTCTTTAAATATATATATATATCTCATCAAGTAATGTATGCAACTATTTTAAGAAGTAAAATAGTTTCACAATCTGCCCCCAATTTCTCTCACCAGAAGCAAACATGATTATTAGTTTCTCTTTCCTTGCTTTAATATTTTCTTTCTAAATAATAAGTGTGGCAAACTATATTTTTCAATAAGATAAACATCTCATGTGCTCTTCTTGCAATGTAACATTGATGCTCCTCCCACTGAGATGTGGTGTCTGTGTTTCTTCTCTCTGGATCAAGGTGGGAGTGTGACTGTGGTGAAGTAATACTTTGTGACTTCAATGACTAGGTCATAAGAACTGGTTCAGCTTCCACATGAGCCTCCTGGGGCAATTGCCTTCAGAGTCCTAATCTACCATGTAAGAAATCTGAAGCTGCCAGGCTATACAGTAATTCATGGAATGTAGAGAAGCCACAGGTAGGTTCTTCAGCCAGCCATCCTAACTGAGGCCCTGGCCAACTGGCAGAACCAGTTCCATACATGTGAGATAATAAAATGATGACTATTGTACTAAATTGCTGAATTTTGGAAGAATTTGTTTTATGTTAATAAATAACTGAAACACTGATATACATTGCTATCTTCTATTTCATTAATTTTAGATGTACTCAATTGTGTATTTTTTAATGGTACTTGACCATAAAACTCTCTTATACCATCAACTCTTTTGCTTCCTCTCTCTATACTTCTGATATAATTTTATATTATAAATTTCTGTTAATAATTGTATTTGCATCCTTATATCTATAGTGTACTTTGTTCCTTTTCATATTCTTGTATATCTTAAGTGATTAATTAGTGATTTCTTTGATTTTTAATCTGGTTACTTTTCTTTGCACTAAATTGTTTTTCTCTCATTTCAATAGTCTTCAGTACAATTTTTTACCCAGTTAATTATAGAAGGTAATCTAGCAATTTCGTTTTTTTTTTTTTTTTTATGGCCTGGAGTCATCCCACCTGGAGACTTCCATTTTCCTTTTATTTTTGCCTGTTGTTTTCTAGGGAATTATTTTCAGTGTCATCCTGAGACTTTTTGCTGTCATTTTGGAAACTTCTTTGATGTTTAGCAAGTTTGGATTTTCTGTTTCTCAGATTTTATGCTTTCTTCTTACTTGGTTTCATCTTTTATTTTGGTGGAACATATCCTTCCTGTTAAAAAAAAATGTACCACAGCAGAAAACCTGACAATAATAGCCCTGAATAAGCCTGTCTCGGCAGTCTGGGTTGGAATAGTATATAAAAATTTGGGGAAGTTTGCATATCTGAAACTACCTTTTTAGAACTTGACACTTGAAAAATTAAAGTTTCTTCACAGCAACTTTGCTTAAGTTTGAATGGTAATTTTCAGCTTCTGGGCAATGCTGTGAACTGCTAGAAGTAGGTGCATGCATTTCCGGGAACAAACTTAACTTGTATACGGGAAGGAAAAAAAAAAAAAAAAGTGACTGGCCCCTAATACAGAGCCTGCAAAAAGTAGAACTACTTTCTAGACTAGGGGCAGGGAAAGTAGATAAATATATTGGTAGGAATTGTGAGTGAAATAAAATTACAGAAACCAGAGAAATTCAAACCCTCATACATTGCTGGTGGGTATGCAAAATGATGCAGCCACTGTGAAAAACAGTTTGGCCGTTTCTGAAAATGTAAAGCATAAAAATACCATATGACCCAGAAATTTTACCCGTGGATATACTGAAGAGAATTGCAAGCAGATTCTAACTGAAAGGTATTCTAATATATATTATATAGAAATATTTATGTCTGCACTATTGACAATACAACCCATGTTCATCAATGAACAAATGGATAAATAACATGGTATATCCATACAATGGAATATTATTTAACTACAAAAGAAAATGAAATACTGACCTGCTACAATGTAAATGAATCTTGGAGACAGTTATCTAAGTCAAAGAAGCCAGACGCAGAAGGCTACATGTGGTATGATTCTATTTGTATGAAATATATAGACGACTTCGTAGGAACAGAAAGCAAATTGGAGGTTGCCACGGATGGGGAAAGGAGGAAGTAGGGAATGATTGCTTAATGGGTATGGAGTTTTAGGGTGATGAAACATTTGGAACTAGATGGAGGTGGTAATTGCAAAACATTATGAATGTACTAACTTCTATTGAATTATTCACTTTAAAATGGTTTATGCTATATAAATTTCACAAGCTTAACTCAAACAAGTGAAGTAGGAAAGAATAGTGACTGGCTCTAATAATAAGCCTATAAGAAGTATTACTACTTTGTAGGCTGGCTAAGAAAGCAAAAAAATACATTTGTAAGAATTCTGTGTAAGAGAGAAAAAGTGAGCACTGGCATGTATACATATGAAATGTCTATTTTGACTTTTTAGAAAATTGCTTTCCTTATGTAATGCTTTTAGATAATATAATGTTTTGGCTACTATCAGAACATTCAGATGAGTTCTGGCTAGATAAGTTGTTTCTGAGCCACACACATATATTTTATGATGATGATCTAAAAATTTATGATCGAATGAGAATACAGAGAAGACAGGTATTTAAAAATATTAAGTACAAGGCAATGTTCAAGAATTTCTACTTCTAAAGTTATGTTTGCCAAATAATTTTCTTAAAAAAACTATAATTAAAAAAATAAAAAGAGATAAACAAATGACAAGGTGAAGAAGAACCTCATCTTAGAGAGCCTCCCTTTGGCCAGCCTGATGCATCTCTGCCTCACTGAGTGCATTTATGTGCACAAGAGTGAGTGCTGCTCTACTAGAAACATGTGATGAGTGCTTGCTGAGAAACCCAGCCCAGCCAGCAGCAGAGTGGTTATTAAGCTGTAGCCCTAGAGCCTCCCAGTTTTATTTTATTGTTTCTGGGATGCAAGTGCTATGCAGTTCTTAGGCAACTCTCTTTCCAAGCAATTAAGTCCCCCATCTCAGAAGCCAGAAAGGAAGTAAATAAGAAGGGGGAGGAGGCAGCTTGGTGGGGGCTTCCAGGTTATTTATTACTTTAATAAATCTGGGCTCCTCCCAGCCCGCCTCAGACTCCTGTTTCTGTCAAGCTCCCGAGGACAAACGATCGCTTAATCGTAGGGTTTGTGGGCGACCTGGGCGCAAAGCACGGTTTATAGTGCAGGAAAGGCTGTTAAGTAAGACGATGTGGTAGTGCCCTGGCCAATAAGTCATTAAGCAGAAATTAAAAGCAGAAAACTTCCTAGTACCCTCTATCTAACTTGTACTAACCTCTTAAAGGCAGAGTTGGTTGTGTTTGGAGCTGAGGATAAAAGGCAGGCCCAGGAAGTTTTTTTTTTTTTTTTTTTTTGGCATTTGACTCTTTTATTTTCTTTCACTTGCTACTTGAGGGGTCACACTAACCAATTCTAGTTACATACTTTCCTGCTATGGACTCTGGAAAAAACGGTTGCAAAGAAACAGAAAACTAACCTTCTTAAACATATATAAGGAATCAAGGGTTTCCTAAAACTGTAATCTGAGAGTCCTATTTTTGCCTTCTGTATAGTAAGCATGTCATTCTACTCACTATTATGCCAGAATACATCTTCACCTTTCAAACTGAATTACGTTCATGTAGCAAAAACAAGAATTGTGCACTCTACTGAATATTTTTGCATTTACTTATTGCAATACTAGTTAAAACACCAGTTTATAATATTTTTATACTTTCAGTAGTTCAACAAATGCATGATTCTTTTAATCGGACTGAAGTTTCAAGTCAACACTTCACTGGAGAAAATGTATGAAACTGTGGCCCTAATTTCTGAAACAAAGGATTGAGGTTCCTCTTTCCAACTTCTTTCAGTCCATCACTACTCCACATGTTCCTGCTCTTGTCCTGGAATGAGCCATAGAATACTCTCAGTTCGAATGGTAGCATACATAATAAAACTAATTAAAAAGAATAAGGAAAATACAAGCAACCAGTCCACACTTTTTATCAAAGTGCTGGGAAGAGGGCCTATTTGGTTGGCTTGAGTTACAACCACATTCTTCTTGGCTTCTATACCTGCCTGATTAAAAATGAAGATTTTCAGTGTTTCCAATGTTCGATCTGTATGATTAAATCTAGCCACTGGTTTAGCTCCTTGAAATAACAAAATATTAGGAATGGCTACAGTGCCAAACCTGGTAGAAAGGCTGTGACATATTTAAAATTTTCAGAGTGAAATTTCCTAATCCCGTAATGGTTCTCTCCTCACAGTTCACTTTTGGGGATTTCAGACTTTCAGTGCTATTGGAGTCTTCTGTCTGGGCTGCGTCCGATTCCACCACTTCTGGCTCAGTGTAATTCTCCTCTTCTTTATCAGGGAAGTGTGCTCCAGCACCGTCCAGAGAGAAAAGGCTCTCACGGAGGTTGCACTTTGAGTCCTCCTGGGAGGTTGCACCTTGAGTCCTCAGCTCCTCCAGTGCTACAGGTGCTGCCAGTAGGCTCTGAACTCACTTTGTCCTCAACTTCCCCAGAAATCACAGACAGCATCACCCTGCGATCGCCTTGAGTATCCAACCCTGGCACCGCATCGGCCTCTTCTGCTGCCCTGTCCTGGCCCATCTGGTCATGTGGGAGCTCCTCCTCATCCAGGTACACAGCCCCTACCTGGAGAGGATGAGCTGGCTGCTCCTCCACCATAAGTGACCACTTTCCTCTGCAACCTTGGCGCTGCGGACAGGAAGCCTCAGCACCCACAGCAGTACTTGGAGCCGCATGATGCGGAGCTTTATGATGTGGGGCGGTAGTCGGCCAGCAGCCAGGACCGCCGCCCAGGCCAAAAGGCAACCGGCAGGCTACAGCGAGTGGTGCTGCCTGCCCAAGAAAGGCTGGGGGAGGAGAGCATGGGAGCGCGGGCGTGGCCCCGCCCCATCATCTTAATACCTGGCAGCTGTGGCGAGCGCCATCTTGGAGTCCCAGGGAGAAGGTTCTGTCAGCGAAGGAGGAGAGTAGAAGAGGCTGGCTTCAGAACCATCCCTGTGTCCTGCACTCATGAGGGTGTAGCCCCTAGCCGTTCAATCTGACAACAGCTGCCGTGCCTGAGGATGGTAGGCTGCCAAACTCCTGCCAACAGGTTTTCATTTGTTATCTTACTTGAATTTATTATTTTCTTAAGTTCTGAGGTACATGTGTTGTACTGGAGTGAGCATAGAAAGTCAACACCAAGACAAAAGTATGCCAAATTGCAGGGTCTTCATTGCCAGTGGCCACGGAGGACTCGAGTCTCTCCAACCAGTGGCCCTGGAAAGGAGGGTGTCAAGACCTTTTATGCCCATAAACTGCCTCAGGGGTGAGGGTGAGGGGCGGGGGTGGGGGTGAGGGGCTTCAGACATTCCGAGGGCCAGTGGATTCTGTAAATCACCTCCTGGGTGGAGATGAGGGTGAGGGGCTCCGGACATTCCGAGGGCCAGGGGACTTTGGACATTCCGATTGTTACATAAGTGGTTCACAGAAGTCAAGATAAGCGTTAGTTTACACATTGTCTGGGTAGGGTGGAAATTACAGCCGTTAATTACTTATTGCAAGTTGGAGGGGCCAAGATGGCATGGGTTTGTACTGCTTGCCTGTCACATTAGGGTTACAGAGCAGTTTCAATGGAAGCCGAGGTATGGTCAAGGTATGCAGTTTTTGGGCGATTACCGTGTCACATTCCCCCTTGTTTTATTTACAGGAATTGAATCACTGATTCCTCCAACAGTTCAGTATTGTTTGTTCTAAGGGCCCATATTGAGACCTTAATATCATTAATTTTACGGAGTCTACCCTAGCTTTCATGAGCCTGAGCAGTTGGTTTAGGAGGCAGGGGCCAAACCTAAGTCCCAGTAGGAGTAGGGCCAGAGGTCCCACCAGGCCTGTGAGGAGGGAAGTGAGCCAAGAGGACCAGGAAAACATTTTTGATACCAACTTTCTGAAGCCTCTCCAAGTTGTTTTCTGGTTTTGAGATTCTGTCTGGCCAGGGAGAGGCTCTCTCAGATGAGGCCTGACCTATTGGCATAGAAGCAACATTGTTCATTAAGGGCGGCACATAACCCCCCTTGTTTTAAGAATAGAAAATCTAGTCCTCACCTGTTTTGGAGGACCATTTCAGCCAAAGACTCAACCTGTTCAGTGAGTTGGGAAATGGAGTTTTCCAAGTGGCTTAAATCAGTATCTATGTGCTGCGAGAGAGCTTTAAAATTTTGGTCCCCAGTTATAAGAGCTGATATTCCAACTGGGGTGGAGCCAGCAATGCCTAATCTAACCAGTAGAGGGATGACGATAGGGACTTGCTTCCATCTGGCAGTTATATCTGAGGGGACCAGGAGGTTAGGTTCCTGTTGGACATTATAAATGTCACCTCTGGGGAGGATGTGTACTGGGGTGCAGAGTATGGGAGCAGAGCTGCTGAATTGGTATGTGGAAATGCAGTTGGTGAGGCCAAAAGTGCAGGCTAACCAAGTGGTATCTGGGGCCTGATAGTAAAGGTTTTTACCATTAAAGATTACATTGTGGGAGACATTACAGTAGTGCCCATAGGGAGAACCTGCAAGGGTATAATTTGGGGAGTGGTAGCAGTGCCCAGACCCTCTATGTCTCCCAGGGTTAAATGGAGTATGGATTGGGAGCATGAAGAATTGGTCAGATTGGCAGGTAATTGGGAAGCCAACCTGGTATAAAACAGTGGTTGAGGGTTTAGACAGAGCCAACAGTCTTTTCCTAAATCTGGGTTAGATTTGTTGAGGAGGTGGTGAGCTGAGGACCACAAGGTTAACAGGGTTGTGTTCTCTTCAAGGGCAGGTTGTAGGGGAAGGTGTTTGACGCTCCATTGTCCTTCCAGTGAGGCACTCTTAACGTGGTTTTGATGAATCCAGGCCGTTAGTTCGTCCACCTTGAGTATGGTGGGTGTGGTCAGGATAACCATGTAGGGTCCCTTCTAACGAGGGGTGAGGCCAGAGGTGGCGAATCTTTTACCAAGGACAGAGTCTCCAGGCTGGAAGAGGTGTGTCGGCTGGTCTTCGAGGTCCAATGGGGTGAGATGGGTGTCTTTAATGAGCTGGTGTACCTGGGATTGAACAGACTGAAGTGCCTGTAAGGACTTAAGGAGTCTATAGTTATGGATTTTAGCATGCACAGTATCTGCGGGTCTGGGGAGTAAGGGAGGGGGCTTGCCGAACATGGTTTCAAAAGGGAAGAAGTCTTTCTGATAGGGTGTGCATCGGATGAGGAGGAGAACAAATGGAAGCAGGCTGACCCAGTTTTCACCAGTCTCTAGGATAAACTTTTCAGGGTTTCTTTTAGGGTCAGGTTCATTCATTTGCCCTGAACTCTGAGGATGATAAGCACAGTGTAATTTCCAGAGTATACCCAGGGCCTTGGCTAGGCCCTGTGAAATTTGTGCAGTAAAGGTGGGCCCATTGTCTGACCCCAGCGTTAGAGGGAGGCCAAACTGAGGAACAAGGTCCTGTAATAGTTTTTTGTGACCACCAAAGCAGTCTTGGACCTAGTGGGGAAGGCCTCAACCCATCCAGAGAACGTATCTATAAACACCAGGAGGTATTTATAGCCATTTGCTGGGGGTTTTATTTCAGTGAAATCTACTTCCCAGTGCTACCCAGGGCTAGTCTCCCTGACTTTTACTCCTACCCAGCTAGACCTGTTCCCTCCCAGATTTACTCGGGCACATACATCACACCGAGTGGTAATTTTCTTGATAAGCTCATGTAAGTGGGGAATGTATTATTTGGCTCTTAGCAGCTCAGTTAGTTTGGTGTGTCCTAAGTGAGTGGCCTAGTGTGCGTCCTTAACTAGGGCCCCTCCAAGAGCCTTGGGGACCACAGTCCTTGTGTCCAGTAGAATCCACCCTCCTGTGGAATTTTGTGTTGTCCCTTGTTCTTTAGCAAAGTTTTCTTCATCAGGTCAGTATGTAGGGGTAGGGGGCAGGGTTGGGGCCGGCAGAGTTACAAAAGAGTCAGAGGTTTTACTGGTCCCAGGGCTGCCTGTCTGGCTCGTAGGTCAGCTGCCCTATTTCCCCTGGCCTCTGGTGAATCTCCCTTCTGGTGTCCTTTGCAGTGTATTAATGCCACTGCCTTGGGCTTCTATATAGCTTCTAGTAGGGCTAGGATTTCTTCTTATTTTTTGATGGTTTTTCCCTCTGAGGTAAGTAGTCCTCTTCCTTTATAAATGGCTCCATGTACATGAGCCGTTGTGAAGGCATATCGGCTATCCATATAGCTGTTAACAATTTTTCCCTCCGCCCAGTCTAAGGCCTTTGTCAGAGCTATGAGTTCTGCCTTTTGGGCCGAGGTTCCATGTGGAAGAGCCTGAGCCCAGACAACCCGCTCTAGGGTGACTATGGCTGCCCCAGCATACCTGACTCCATCGACCATGAAACTGCTGCCATCCACATACAGTACCTCCTCTGGGTTCTGCATAGGGATGTTGGTGAGGTCTGGTCAAGCAGCGTGGAGGACGTCCGTGTCTGTTGGCAGTCGTGTATGGGCTCCTCCAGCTCACTGTCAGGTAGCAGTGTGGTGGGGTTTAAAACTGTAGCCTTTAAAAACTTTATGCGGGGCTGGTCCAAAAGTAAGGTGTGATATTGGACTACGCTGGCATTTGACATTCATTTTACCGGAGCTCCACGGAGTAGTGACTCCACCATGAGGTACCACTAAATTTAACTCCTTCCCCAAGGTTAGTTTGTCTGCCTCCTTGACTAACAGGGCTGTAGCTGTCACCAACCTCAGACAAGGTGGCCACTCAGAGGCTATGGGATCAAGACATTTTGAAAGATAGGTGACTGGCTGGGACCATGGTCCCAACGTCTGGGTGAGTACCCCCTTAGCAACTCCCTGTTTTTCATGCACAAGCAACCGGAAGGGTTTAGAGATGTCTGGCAAGGCCAAGGCTGGGGCCGTAGTCAGGGCAGTCTTGAGCTTGTCAAAAGCCCATTGCTCTATCTCTGTCCATGTCAAGGGCTGATTTCCTCCAGTGCAGGCATGCCTTGCTATCTTGAGGAATCCCAAAATCCATAGCCTGCAGTACCCTACCACCCCAAGGAATTCTCTTGGTGTTTCTTGGGTGGGGGTGGGTATTTGCAGCACCACTTGGACTTGGCTGGGTGCCAGTGTCAGTTTGCCTTCTCTATGATATAGCCCAGGTGAGTAACTTTCGGTTAGTAGAGTTGGGCCTTTTTAGCTGAGACCCGATAACCCAAAGTCTCTATGGTCTTTAATAATGACTGGGTGGTCTGTTTATAGGCCTCCTGGGTTTTTGTAGCCAAGAGTAAGTCATCCACATATTGGAGTAGGGTACACTTGGGGGACTCAGCTTGGAAGGTGGCAAGATCTTGGCTAAGTGCCTCATCAGAGTAGGGGAGTTTTTGAACCCTTGAGGCAGTCTTGTCCAAGTGAGTTGCCCTGAGACCCCAGTATCGGGGTCAGCCTATTCAAAAGCAAATATGGGCTGGCTAACAGAGGCCAGTGGGATGCAAAAGAATGCATCCTTAAGATCCAAGACAGTGTAATGGTGGTGTTCTGGGCCCAAGAGACTTAGGAGCGTGTATGGATTGGAACCGTAGGCTGAACAGTTTTCACTCATTTGTTTACCTTTCTTAAGTCCTGTACAGGCCGATAGTCCTTTGTGCCTGGTTTTAAGATGGGGAGCAAGTGGGTATTCTAGGGGGACTTACAGGTAGTAAGGTTCCCTCCTTGTAGGAGTCTTGTTATATGTGGAGCAATTCCCCATCTGGTTTCCTGGCTCGTGGGGTATTGTACCTGGACTGGAGTTGCCATTGCCAATAGCTGGACTAAGACTGGG